ATGTTTGTTGGCCTCTTGTATGTCTTCTTTTGTAAAGTGTCTGTTCATATCCTTTGCCCACTTTTGAATGGGCTTGTTTGTTTTTTTCTTGTAGATCTCTTTAAGTTCTTTTGTTGATTCTGGATATCAGCCCTTTGTCACATGGGTAGACTGCAAAAATTTTTTCCCATTCTGTTGGTTGCTGATTCACTCTAATGACTGTTTCTTTTGCAGTGCAGAAGCTGTGGAGTTTGATTAGGTCCCATTTGTCTATTTTGGCTTTTGTTGCCAATGCTTCTGGTGTATTGGTGTACAAGCTTTAAAATAAGTGAACACCTAGGAACAACTTGATCTTTTGCTGTGTAATCTTTGAGAATTTCTGTAATCAACTCATTCTGAATCTGATCATTGAAAAGTCTCTCCTGGCAGGCATGGTGGCTCATGCCTGTAATCCCAGCATTTTGGGAGGCTGAGGAGGGCGGATCACCTGAGGTCGGGAGTTCGAGACCAGCCTGACCAACATGGAGAAACCCCTATCTCTATTAAAAATACAAAATTAGCCAGATGTGGTGGTGCATGCCTGTAATCCAGCTACTCAGGAGGCTGAGGCAAGAGAATCACTTGAACCCAGGAGGCGGAGGTTACAGTGAGCCGGGATCATGCCATTGCACTCCAGCCTGGGCAACAAGAGTGAAACTCCATCTCAAGAAAAAAAAAGAAAAGAAAAGTCTTTTCCAGCAGTTTGGGCCCACACTCTTGGAGACTGTTGTCTGTTTAAGCTGTGGTCAGGTGACTGCTGTTCTAAGGTGCTTAAATTAATTCGGCAGCTCTCAACCCAGACCCCATGTTAAGAATTTCTTGGGTAACTTTAAAAAATTACTTACACTGAGGCTTCATCCCACACCATTCGAATTCGAGCAGGTGGAAGTTAGGCATCAGTACTTCTAAAACTTGTCAGGGGTGCTGGTACAGTGGCTTGTGCCTGTAATCCCAGGACTTTGAGAGGCTGAGGCAGGAGGATCACCTGAGCTCAGGAGTTTGAGACCAGTCTGGGCAACATGGTGAAACCCTGCTTCTATAAAAAATACCAAAAATTAACCAGGTGTGGTGGCACATGTCCAAGGTCCCAGGTAGTTGAGAGGCTGAGGTGGGAGAATGGCTTGAGCCTGGGAGGCAGAAGTTGTGGTGAGCTGAGATCTCATCATTGTACATTAGCATGGGCAAGAGTGAGACCCTGTTTCAAAACCTGTCAGGGTGCAGCCAACATGAAGAACCACTGAGTTGCTTGTCAAGCTACCTACTTTCCCTACTTTCAGAGAAACTTTTTCTCCTTTTTTTTTTTTTTTTTTTTTGAGACAGAGCGTCACTCTGTTGCCCAGGCTGGAGTGCAGTGGTACAATCTTGGCCACTGCAATCTCCACCTCTCCACCTCCTGGATCGAAGCGAATCTCCTGCCTCAGCCTCCTGAGTAGCTGAGATTACAGGTGTGTACCACAGTGCCTGGCTAATTTTTGCATTTTTAATAGAGATGGGGTTTCACCATGCTGGCCAGGCTAGTCTCAAACTCATGTCTTCATGAGCCACCCACCTCAGCCTCCCAAAGGGCTGGGATCACAGGCATAAGCCACCATATCCAGCCCAGAGAAGCTTTTCTTTCTCTTCATGGTCCTGGCTGGTCTGTTTGCAGAAATGCATTTATACAGGACAGTAGTGGGAGGGGAAGGGCTTTGCTTCCAGTCTCCATCTTCCTAGATTCTGGCTCTGAGTTCTCTGCCCCGTCACCACCTAGGTAGATGTGGACTCCCTGTACTGCTCCTTGAACTTTGAACCTGTCACACAAATTCAGAGAATAGTGAATCCAGTTTTACAGGTTTTCAGCCTGGACTCTACCCAGAGCTATCTGACCTGTAGATTTTGCCCTGCCTTGTTACTCAGGCCGTGAGCTTCTGCCTAGGCTATCATTGCAGTTGTGGGTCTCTGCTCTGCTGCTCACCTACACTGGAAGCACCTGAAGAGCATGTCAATTTGTGCACAGATCTACATGTGTGCACAACACTCCAGAAAAACTGAAAAGTCCTACTAGTTTCTGTTTTTGTTTTTACCAAAGACTTTAGCGGCATCTGTGTCTTTTGGAGAATAACTTTTGAGTCCCAGGAGGTTTTGTTAATGACTCCTGGACTTACAGAAATTACCCAACTTGAACTAGCCAGGTAAAAGTTGTTCATTTTGGCATAATTTCTTTCGAGTTTTGGCATTTAATTTGGCCCTTCCTGATATTCTAATTGGTTATGTTTGTCTTTTGGTGGATTTGGTAAGCCCAAGAACAAAAGGACTTTTGTGAATTGGAATTAAGTTAGCTGTTTGCCGGACTTTCAGCCTCATGGAAGTTTTCATTTGTCCTCAATTGCTGGGTTCTTCCCAGAAACTCTGGGTGGAGACAGACTGGATGGCCTCCTCATTTCCTCACTGGAAAATCACTAAAGAATAAGTCTTTATTTTTATTTTTTAGCAATGGGGTCTTGCAGGTGGGCGCTGTGGCTCACGCCTGTAATCTCAACACTTTGGGAGGCCAAGATGGGCAGATCATGAGGTCAGGAGTTTGAGACCAGATTGACCAACATGGTGAAACCCCATCTATACTAAAAATATAAAAATTAGCTGGGCGTGGTGGCGCACACCTGTAACCACAGCTACTTGGGAGGCTGAGGCAGGAGAAATCACTTGAACCTGGGAGCCAGAGGTTGCAGTGACTGAGGCTGTGCCACTGCACTCCAGCCTGGGCAACAGAGTGAGACTTTGTCTCAAAAAAAAAAAAAAAAAAAAAAAAAAAAAAAGAAGAAGAAGAATTGGGGTCTTGCTCCATTTTCCAGGCTGGAGTGCATTGGCATTATGACAGTTTATTGTAACTTTGTACTCCTGGGCTCAAGCAATCTTCCCACTTCAGCCTACAGAGTTGCTGGACTATAGGCATGCACAACCATGTCTGGCTATTTCTTTAAAAACTTTTTTTTTTTTAAATAGAGATAGGGGATTCATCATCTAACCCAGGCCAGTCTTGAACTGCTGCCCTCAAGCAATCCTTCCATCTGGAACTCCCAAAGTGCTGAGATTATTACAGGCATGAGCCACCGTGCCTAGGCTAAGGAATAAGTCTTTAATGTGTCTCTATTTAGCTCCTGTGTCCCCAGCTTTAGCTCAGCCCTCCTGAAAGAGTGGGCAATCTTTTGAATGGTCAAAGGAAAAAGAAGGTATCAATAAAACTGTGACAAAAAAGATAAACAATTTGGGCCTTTAGGAAGTTTGTGAACATGGAAGATAGATAACCAACTAGAACAGTCCTGACATCTTCATAACCTCAGTCTGCAGGAGGAAGAGGCATGAGGTAAGAGTTGGAAGAAAGTTCTGATCCATCCAGAAATTAGAAATTGTACTTTACCTTGAAAGCTAATTGATGTATTATGTGAAGATACTCTCTGATGGTCTAGTGACAATAATTAAACTCCAAAACAGCTCCTGTATTGAATTCACATGTAGGACCAAGCAGAGGGGGAATCTAAATCAAAGAGAAGTCAGTTTCAAGCCACATACGAATTTATAACAAAAGAGAAACCTCCCTTCAAATAAAGCAGCATATTATGTTTATGACAAAGGTGGCATTTCAGAGCAACAAGGAAGGAAGAGATGGTTTTTTTTTTTTTCTTTTTTTGAGATGGGGTCTCACTGCATTGCCCAGGCTGGTTTTGAACTCCTGGACTCAAGCAATCCAACTGCCTTAGCCTCCACATATGCTGAGATTACAGGTGTGGATCGCCATGCCTAGCCGAGATGACCTTTTCAATAAGTAGTCTTTAGTCCAATGGATATCCACATCTTGACCCCTACCTCACATCATACACAAAATTCAATTCTAAATAAATTGTAGGTCCACATCTAAAAAGACAATACATCTTCTAGAAGAAATCATAGAATATTTTTATTAATTCAGGGAAGAAAAAGATGGCTTAAATGGGACAGAAAAACTCCCATTGATAAAGGATATGATTGGTAAAATGGACTACATTAAAATTTTAAAATTCTGAATTTCTGTCAAAGATACTAAGACTAAAAATGCAAGGCACTGAGTGGATATGGAAAGTCAGTCGATGGACTTGTACCCAGAATATATAAAGAGCTAATCAATAAGACATAGATATCTCGGTTAGGCGTGGTGGCTTATACACATAAGCGCAGCACTTTGGGAGGCCGAGGCAGGAGGACTGGACTGTTTGAGCCCAGGAGTTTGAGACCAGCCTGGGCAACACAGTGAGATCCCATCTCTAAAAAAAAAAAAAAAAAAAAAAAAGAAATAGACATCAAATACAGAAATTGTCAGAAAACACCTAGTGCGGTGTCTCACACTTGTAATCCCAGCACTTTGGGAGGCTGAGGTGGGTGGATCACCTGAGGTCAGGAGTTCGAGACCAGCCTGGCCAACATGGAGAAACCCCATCTCTACTAAAAAATATAAAAATTAGCCAGATATGGTGCCACATGCCTGTAATCCCAGCTACTCAGGAGGCTGAGGCAGGAGAATCACTTGAACCCGGGAGGTGGAGGCTGCAGTGAGCTGAGACTGGCCACTGCACTCTAGTCTGGGCAACATGGCGAGACTCTGTCTCAAAAAAAAAAAAAAAAGGAAAAAAAGAAAGAAATTGTCAGAAAACAAGCAAGTACTTCAAAAAAGAGGCCAATAAGCATATAGAAAGGTGCTCAACCCCCACCCCCACCTCCGCACTAAAGACAATAGCTATGCTCTTTACAACTTTCTTGTTTTGTTTTTCTGGTAGTTCAACAATACAGATAATAACTGTTAGTTGAAATGACATTTGTCTGTGATGATCAAATTGAATCAAATATAAATTTCTTTTTTGAAAATATTATGATCATTTTTTCTACCTATAAATTCCACTTTGAATTTATAGGTAAAAAAATTGTCATATTTTCATATTACAATCATTATCATCAATATTATTCATCCTAGATAATAATCATTTGTCTCCTTTTTATCTATTGGCTATTCTAGCACCAAATTTCAAAAGTATTTATAGTGCTTTCCATTGTTTTCTGTAGATATTGTGCAGTCAGTTAAGCAAAGATTGCTTAAAGAAAACACAAAAATGCTTGGCTTAATACTAAGCCAATATTCCTAGCCAGTATGAACTTGTTATTTTTCAATATCATCAATTGTTTACTGTTTGCCAACCTACTCACATTTTCCTCCCAGTTTTAGTAATTGCATATATGCTTCATTTCTGTGTACATGTGGTGTTTCACGTTCCTTTAATAAAGAATCTAGATTACTAAATTCTAATACAGGATCTAGTTTAGGTAGTCATCAATGCACACCTTGGCCAAAGGATAATCCTGAAAACTAGGCATGTAAAATAAGGGTAATACAAATGGGAATATAAAAATGCTTTTCCTTGGACTTAGAATATAAAAGTCAGTTTCTACACAGTCTTTCTCTGTGCTTTAAAATGTAGGTTTTATTATTTAGGTATGATAAGAACAACAGATCAGGAGATGACTGCCACTGAAAAGACAGTTTGTTATTCACAGTTCCAAGAAGAGAGGTGATGTGGCTTGGCTGTGTTTCCACCCAAACCTCACCTTGAATTGTTGCTCCCATAATTGCCATGTGTCATGGGATGGACCCAGTGGGAGGTAATTTAATCATGGGGATGAGTCTTTCCCATGCTCTTCTCATAGTGGTGAATAAATCTCATGAGATCTGATGGTTTTATAAATGGGAGTTCCCCTGCACAACCCTCTTTGCCTGACACATGTAAGACTTCCCTTTGCTCTTTTTTCATTTTCTGCCATGATTATGAGGTTTCCCCAGCCATGCGGAACTGTGAGTTCATGAAACATCCTTCCTTTATAAATGACCCAGTCTCAGGTATGTCTTTATTAGCAGCATGAGAACAGACTAATACAAGAAGACATGCCACACAGGTAAGAACCAGAGTTGGTCAAGAAGCAAAAGGAGTGAGGAGAAAACATATGCAAGAGCCTGTACTGTGGTTTCTACAGGAAGGAACAGAAGAAGCAGAGTAAGCAGGTTTAGGATTGGCTGATTTGAATAATTTCAGTGGTCTCTAGGGGTATAAGGGCTGTCCCTAGTTGCCTGGTATCTGGCTCTGGGGTTGCCAGAGCAGGTGGATAGTGGCCTTGAATGTAAGAGCAGGATGTGAGATATGGGCTCTGGATCAGTAGGTTTGCATATGAAAGACAGCTCACAGATTAGTCTTTTATGCTCCCTAGGAATTGGCTGGCTAGCCTGGGGAGGGCTAGTCTCCCAACTGTCAGTAAGGCCCCAGATGTCAAAACATCAGAATAAAAAGGAATGCTTAATACCTTCTTTTTAGAAGAACTAGTGTTAGGTAATGATGTGGTTTGGCTCTGTGTCCCCACCCAAATCTCATCACAAATTGTAATTCTCATGTGTCAAGGGAGGGACTTGTAATCCCCACGTGTCCAGGGAGGGAAGTGATTGGATCACAGAGGTGGATTCTCCCATGCTGTTCTCTTGAGATCTGATGGTTTTATAAGCATCTGTCATTTCCCCTGCTTGCTCTCACTCCCTCCTGCCGCCTTGTGTGGAAGGTACCTGCTTCTTCTTCATCTTCCACCGTGATTGTAAGTTTCTTGAGGCCTTCCCAGCCATGCAGAACTGTGAGTCAATTCAATCTCTTTCCTTTATAAATTAGTCACAGGTATTTCTTTATAGCAGTGTGAAAACAGACTAATACACATGAAATACCATATTTTCTGTTATGTTTATCTGATGAAAAATCATAATCATTAATTTGAAGCACATTATGTTTTGCTACAAAGAATCTCATGCTGTCAAAAGGAGTAGGATCACTTTTCAGAATCATTATCCAACAAACCTCGTGACACTCCAGAGGTTCTAATCTTTGGACAAATTTGCTGATTTCATGGATATACTTTTCTCTATCTTGCAAGGTACAGCCCAGAGTTACATTTGTTCCTTCTAAATTATGTCTGTGATATGAATGATTCTCTTTTCTGTCTTACTTTTAAAATTAGTAGCCGATATGGTTTGGCACTGTCTCCCCACCCAAATCTCCTGTTGGATTATAATTCCCAATGTTGAGGGAGGGACCTGGTGGAAGGTAATTGGATCTTGGGGGTGGATTTCCCCCATGCTGTTCTCATGATAGTGAGTGAGTTCTCTCAAGGTCTGCTGGCTTAAAAGTGTGTGGCCCCTCCCCTCCTTGTGCAGCCTTGTAAAGAAGGTGCTTGCTTCCCTTTCATCTTCCACCAGGATTGTAAGTTTCCTGAAGCCTCCCAGACTTGCTTCCTGTTAAACCTGCGGAACTGTCAGTCAATTAAACCTCTTTTCTTCATAAGTTACTCAGTCTCAGGTAGTTCTTTATAGCCATATGAGAATGGACTAATACAGTAGCTAAAGGTTAATTAAAAAATAATTTGAAGTTGCTAAGATTGAATCTGACTTGAAGTTCAAGTTGTGAATTTGATAAGCATAAATAACTGTTTCATTTTCATGAGTAATCTTCATTAATAATTTATAATGCCCTATTTCTGAACTTTACATGAGCTATGCTCAATAAAGTCTACTAGTTTTTACTGTTGCCAGCTTAAAAAATTTAAATAGCCTCTTATTTGAAAATTTTCTATTTACCTCTTTCAGTTTGTTTCTCCTCTGATTCTACTTTATTTACTTATCTATTTATTTTAAAGATAAGGTCTCACTCTGTCACCCAGGCTGTAGTGCAGCGGCACAATTACATCTCACTGCAGCCTCAATCTCCCAGGCTCAAGCAATCGTCCTACCTCAGCTTCCTGAGTAGCTGGGACTATAGGCAGAAAAAATAAAACTACTCAATTCTAGTATTAAATGTCTATCTACTTTCCAATGGAAAGAATGATTAGTATCACTGTTCACATTACCTCTAGGTCTATATATTTATGTACAAATTTAAGAGTAATATGAACTTTTCAGTTTTGCAATATTTTCCTCAGCTGCCCTGTGCAACTGTTGCAACACGACACTAATTTGTGAGTATCTCAGAACTGAGGACTGAAACACAAAGAAAAGCAAATAAATGGATACTCTGGCATTGTAGGGAAATGATACTTTGTAATATGAGTATAAACTGCCAGTAGGCTAAGAAGGGTCAACAAGCTAATTATTCTTTGTTCTTACCTATTTGATATGATTTGGCTGTGTCCCCACTCAAGTGTCATCTTGAATTGTGGCTTCCACAACTCTCACGTCATGAGAGGGACACAGTGGGAGGTAATTGAATCATGGAGACAGTCTTTCCTGGGCTGTTCTCCTGATAGTGAATCAGTCTCATTAGATCTGATGGTTTTATAAGGAGGAGTTCCCCTGCACAAGCTCTTTCTCTCTTTGCCTGCTGCCATCCATGTAAGATGTGACTTGCTTCTCCTTGCTTTTTGCCATGATTGTGAGGCCTCTCCAGCCATGTGGAACTATGAGTCCATTAAACCTCTCTCCTGGGTATAAATTACCCAGTCTTGGGTGTGTCTTTATTAGTAGTATGAAAACAGACTAATACACTATTGCTTCTTCCACTCAATTTCCTTCTGCACTCTGAAGTAATGCCCATCTTCCACATGGCCAGCAACCTGAATACCATCACAGCTATGTTAGTTATAAATTGCTGTGTAACAAACAAGTTCAAAACCATGGCTTATAAGAGCAATGGTGTATTAATTTTCTGAAGGTTGGCCTGATATGTTCTTTTGCTGGTTTCACTGAGGCTTATTCTGCGACATGCCTTTTGGTGAATTATTCACGTATTTCATCTGGGTATTTGACACTCCAGTGAAATCTGGAAGTCAGTTTTAAAAATATTTATATTATTACCTGTAGGTGATGATAGAATGGTGTAGTTTCTAACTCCAAACTATCTATTGTGTTTCAAACATCAGCATTCTAAGAATCACCTGGGGAGCTTATTTAAAATGCAGATCACTGGGTCCTGCCCTAGAAATTCTAATTAGATAGATGAGGCCCAGGAACCTATATGTATTAGGAGTTCAGAGGACTACACTCTGAAAAACTCTGGTCTACAGCAGCACTCCCGCTTCAACTTCATAGACACAGTCCAGATCCTCTAGTTTCTTATTTACTGTATATATTCCCCACTAATATCCTTGCCCTGGGGCAAACTAATCTAGCAATTTTCATGACCAATTGCCTATTTAAATCATCTGGAGAACTCTTAAAAAATTACTAATGCCTGGCCAGGCATGGTGGCACATCCTTGCAATCCTAGCTACACAGGAGGCTGAAGTTGGAGCACCACTTAAGTTCAGGAATTTGAGACTAGCCTGGACAACAGAGCTAGACCCCATCTCAAAGAAATTTACTGATGTCTGTTCCTTACCCATAGCAATTAAATGAGACTCCCTGGAAGCGAGGCCCCAGCTACCAGGATAATTTTAAAGCAATTTAGATCAGACTGTATAGCCAGGGTTGAGAACAACTGTTCTCATTTATCTGCTGCCTTCAGTGGTCTTTCTTACTATGCCCTAAAGTATTCTAAGGTTTCTTCTTTACTAGAGCAGAGCTTCCCAGCCTTCCCAGTTTCCTAGAGAAGGGAAACAGGCTACAGGTGTGGTACAAAACATTAATTGGCCAGTGATTCAGGCTGCTCCTGGGCCTATGAGCTTCAGGTAAAAGCAGCTTCTCCTGAGGCTTCTTGGTTGGTAGCCTGAGTTGGGCCAGGTTTGCCCATGTACCCCACTGCAGACGTGGTACCCACAGAAATATAGAAGGAGAATGTTGCCCAGGCGTCTAGGAAGCTCAACCCAAGGTATGGCTGCTTGGGGAAGGGGGAATACTGCAAACGGGCCTACTGGTCTGAATCTCTGTCTTCACATATATTTGATTCTTTTGCTCAATAATCACTGATGTGCCTTCCGTATGGCTACAGGGTCATTGCTCCAACTGTGCGTGTGCATTTTCAGAATTAGTTGCATTATCATTTTGAACAATTTGATGCCAGGAGTGGCAGCTCATGCCTGTAATCCCAGCACTTTGGGAGGGCTGAGGTGCAAACCAATAGTTCCAGCTACTGAGGTTTGAGGGGCCTGGCGGGGGAGTTTGAGGTAGGAGGATGGCTTGAGCCTGGAAGGCTGAGGCTGCAGTGAACCATGATCAGGCCACCGCATTACAGCCTGGATGATAGAGCAAAACTGGGTCTCAAAATTTTAAAAAAGAAATAAAAATTTGAAGACATAAAATTGGATTTGAAATCTATCAGCATTATAACAGTAAATTTTAATACTACATTGGACAATGAAAGAAAGAACTCATGTTTCTTTAAATAAAATTTAAGACGTTGGTTTAACAATCAGATGCTGGCTGTCAAAGTGTTTAAAATTTTTGTCACCTATTTGTGTGATTAAAGATTTCTTTTTTAAAAAATTATCTAACTTTTTTTTTTTTTGAGATAGGGTCTCACTCTGTTGCCCAGGCTGGAATGCAGTGACACCATCTCAGCTCACTACAGCCTCGCCTCCCAGGTTCAAATTATTCTCCTGCTTCAGCCTCCTAAATAGCTGGATTAAAGTTTTCTTTCATTGGTTATTAGAGAAAATATGAAGATAAAAAATTTTAAAGCTTGATTAGGAATTGTGTGTGGCATAAGCTATCATAAAAATGTTTATCATAAAAATGTTTTCAATATAAAAAGCAATTATCTACCTGACCTCAAAGTTTCAACAATATCAAAATTCAGATTTTTGATATTGTTGATCATAAAAATGTTTTCAATGTGAAAAGCAATTATCTACCTGACCTCAAAGTTTCAACAATATCAAAATTCACCATTTCTCCACCAAATGGGTGAAAATATATTTGCACACTGAAAATATATTTGCAACCAAAAAGTTCATAAAAACCGGTATCTATGATGGATAAAGAATGCCTACAAGTCACTTAGAAAAAAATGGACAATTCAATAGAAAAGTGGGGGCAAAGATTTAAACAGGTCACAAAAGAGAAAATCTACATAACCAATAGCATATTGAAAATGATCAGCATCCACTTTTTAATGGTGTTTTTTTTTCTTGTAAATTTGTTTTAGTTCTTTGTAGATTCTGGATATTAACCCTTTGTCAGATGGGTAGATTGCAAAAATTATTTTCCCATTCTGGTGGTTGCTGGTTCACTCTAATGATAGTTTCTTTTGCTGTGCTGAAGTTCTTTAGTTTAATTGGATCCCATTTGTCTATTTTGGCTTTTGTTGCCATTGCTTTTGGTGTTTTAGTCATGAAGTCCTTGCCTGTGCCTCTGTCCTGAATGGTATTGCCTACGTTTTCTTCTAGGGTTTTTATGATGTTAGGTCTTATGTTTAAATCTTTAATCCATTTGGAGTTAATTTTTGTATAAGGTGTAAGGAAGGGGTTTAGCTTCAGCTTTCTGCACATGGCTCATCAGTTTTCCCAACACCATTTATTAAATAGGAAATCCTTTCCTCATTGCTTGTTTTTGTCAGGTTTGTCAAAGATCAGATGGTTGTAGATGTGTGGCATTGCCTCCAAGGACTCAGTTCTGTCCCATTGGTCTACATCTCTGATTTGGTACCAGTACCATGCTGTTTTGATTACTGTAATCTCGTATAGTTTGAAGTCAGGTAGTGTGATGCCACTAGCTTTTATTTTTTCTTTTTGCTTAGGATTGTCTTGGCTATGCAGGTTCTTTTTTGGTTCCATATGAAGTTTAAGGTGGTTTTTTCCAATTCTGTGAAGAAAGTCAATGGTAGCTTGATTAGGATAGCATTGAATCTACAAATTACTTTGGGCAGTATGGCCATTCTCAAAAGAAGACATTTATGCAGCCAACAAACATATGACAAAAAGTTCATAATCACTGATCATTAGAGAAATGCAAATCAAACCGCATTGAGATATCATCTCATGCCAGTTAGAATGGCGATCATTAAAAAATCAGAAGACAACAGATGCTGGAGAGGGTGTGGAGAAATAGGAACACTTTCACACTGTTGGTGGGAGCATAAATTAGTTCAACCATTGTGGAAGACCATGGCAATTCCTCAAGCATCTATAAATAGAGATACCATTTGACCCAGTAATCCCATTACTTGGTGTATACCCAAAGGATTATAAATCATACCATTATAAAGACACATGAGCACCTATGTTTATTGCAACACTGTTCACAATAGCAAAGACTTGGAACCAACCCAAATAGCCATCAATGACAGGCTGGATAAAGAAAATGTGGCACATATGCACCATGGAATACTATGCAGCCATGAAAAAGAATGAGTTCATGTCCTTTGCAGAGACCTGGATAAAGCTGGAAACCATCATTCTCAGCAAACTGACACAA